CAACAGCAGCAACAGCAGCAACAACAGCAACAGCAGCAACACTATCACCAGGTATATGTATATGAAATGCGCATCAGAAGTACTCGCCACCGTCCGACATGTAGCGCAGCTGGTACAGGTTGGTGCCGCCCTGCTCCGGGGTCTGGAAGCGGGCCAGCAAGACCACATTGTTCCCGTACACCAGCTGCAGGGAGGCCTGGTTGACGTTACGCGCCTGGTCGAAGAGCTTGGCCGTGCTGGCGTTCCACGAGACGCGCGCCTCCTCCAAAGACACAGGGGCCAAGGCGGGCGAGGCGGCGGCGCTGCCGCCGCCGCCGGCAGAGCCGGTGGCCGCCACGCCGGCAGACAAGTGCGGCCGGACTTCCCCCGCCGTGCCGGTCACCACCTCCGGCTGGTCGGCCATCGGGCCGAGGAAGCGCTGCCGCCAGGGCGAGGACGCCGGCGACGGGACAAACGACGTGGACGGCAGCTCCAGCGGACAGCCATCCGGCCCCAGGCCGAAGCTCAACAGGGTGGTGGCGTACGCGTGGGATTCCGGCAGCACGGCCACCCGCGGCCCGGAGGGGTCATCATCGTGCACCTCGCTGGCCTTGGTCAGGCTGGGCGCCACACCGACGCCCATGCGATTGACCCCGGCCGCCAGGCTGAGTTGTGAGGAGTGGGCCGGCGGGTGGGCGGCCCCGGCCCCGGCCCCGGCCCCGGCCCCGGGGGGCATGGCCGTGGTCGGGGTGGGAGTCCCGCCAGTGCCGGTGCCCCCGCCGCCGCCGGGGGACAGCAGCCCCAGCGAGCCACCCATGGCCGGGTGGTGGGAAAGGGGCCGCTGCCCGAAGGACGCGCCGCTGCCGCCGGGGGTGCCCGGCCCGGCCCCCCCCGAGGTCGAAGCCACCTGCAGGCAGGACATGCTGGCCGAGTAGGAGGGCATGGTCGGCGAGGAATCCAGGGCCCCGGTGTTGGACAACGGCGACATCGGAACCGCCAAGGTATCGACCATCAGCAGCCCGCCGCCACTGCCGCCGGACGAGGACCCCGAGGGGGCCGGGGAAAACAGCGGGGCCGGGTGCAAGCTGGCCGCCGTCGAGCCGCCGGCCCCGACCGTCGGCGACCCGGGACCCGCCACCAGGAGACTGGCACTCGGCGAGTGGGAAGCCGACTTGGAGGGGGTCCGGTCGAGGGCGCCAGTGTCGCCGGGGCCCGGCGAGGCGAGCACCCCTCCCCCGCCGCCGGCCGCGGCCGAGAGGCTGGCGCTGCGAGTGTGACTGTCGGCCGCCAGTAGCCGGGCCGCCGGGGTCGAGCCGCCGCCGCCGCCACCGGCCGCCAGAGGTGACGGGCTCAGGACCATCGGCCCGGTGGACCGGGCCCGGATGTGCGGCGATGTCCAGGAGCTTTCTGAGGGGGCCGGCGAGAAGAGCGCCGAGAGGGACTGATGGGGCGACTGGACAAAGGCCCCGGGGGTGGAGGCCGCCGCCGCCGCCGCCGCCGCCGCCGCGGGGGATTGGACCCCGGCCGCGGTGGCGGCCGCCACCGCGCTCGGGCTCGGCGACGCCAGCAGCCCGGCGCCAGCCGCGCCGCCGGTCAATGACACCACCTGCGTCAGGTTGTATCGGGTGCCGGTGCCGGGGCCGGTCTGCTCGCCGAGCAACTCCAGCTCCGCCAGCAGGGTGGCATTGACCGAGGTCCGGAGCTCGCGGATGCGCTTACGCAGGAGCAGCCGCTTGCCGAAGGTCAGCCCGGCCAGCGAGAGGATATCCTCGTCGGTCAGTTGCAGCAGCGTCTGCCCATCCAGCGGGCATGGGGGGATGTGCTGGACCCCGGCCTTGCGAGTGGCATGTGCGGCAATGCGCTCCAGCAGGGCGTGCAGCGGCTCCACCGCTGCGGCCAGCCCGACGAACCCCAGGTACTGCACCACATGCGTGGGATACCACAGGGGCGGGTACAGGGGCAGGGATCCGAGGACAGAGTCTGTGTGTCCGAAGAGCGGGGAGAGATTGTGTCAGAGGGGGAGAGGGGGAGAGGGGGAGAGGGGGAAAGGGGGAGAAGGAGAGGGAGAAGGAGAGGGGGAGAGAGGCAAAGACAGAAAGAGAGAGAGAGAGAGAGAGAGAGAAGGAGAGAGAAAAAAACAGAAAAAAAAAGAGAAAAACAGAAAAAGAGAAAAAGAGAAAAAGAGAAAAAGAGAAAAGGAGAAAGGAAAACAGCGCCGGGCGCAGCACAAACAGGTCGTAGAGTGCCGGCCGGGGGTGTCTCTCCTCTCGCGCGAAACGCCCACAGAGTATGTTGGCAGGGGCGCGCTGGCACGTACAACAGTGGGCTTCTTGCTCCTCGGCCGGGATCTGGACACACACATTGGCGTCCTCGCCGAGGGGGTAGCCGCCGGACGAGGGCGACAGCAGGGAGGCCCCCTCGTCATCGTCCGACAGGCCGGTCAGCGCCACCGACGAAATGATGCCATCCTCATCGTCATCCTCGCACTCGGTGGAATTGCCGGTGCCGGGCTCGGCGTCACCGCCGCCGGGGCCGGTCGTCGACCGGACCAGGCTCGCTTCCGGGAAGTGGGCGCCCGGGCCCGGCTCCAAGCCCGGCATCGGCGACAGGGCCGGGCTGTGGGCCTCGGGCGGGATGCCCGACAACAGGGGGCTGGCCGGGGCCCGCCCCGACAACAGCCCCCCATTGCCGGAGGAGCCGCCATCCTCCTCGTCCGAGCTGATGGATGTCACCTCGATGCGGAGATCCGAGCCCGGCAGCGAGCCGGCCTGGCCGCCCGGGCCGCCACCACCGGCCCCCAGCGACGGCTGGTGGAGCGCATGGTGCAGGGCCGTGTCGCTGCCCAGCGCCGAGAGGGTCGACGCCGACCGGCGAACGGGCGTATGTGCATCGCCGCCACCGGCCCGCCGGTCGGCCCCGCCGCCCACCATCGACCCCAGACTGCTGGTGTCCGGCATGGATCCCTGCCGACGGAGGCTCGGCTGATCCGGCGAGAAGAGATGCGGCGTCGATTGCGAGGAGGAAAAGGCCGGGGCCCCGCCGCTGGTGCCCGGCGCGCGCAGGGCCGCCGTGGTGGTGGGCGTGCCGGCGGCCGGCGTGCCCGGCGCCGCCAGGTCACTCACCTGCGACAGCAGCGGCAGGATGGACCCCGGCGCCGGGAGGACACCGCCATACCGGACAAAGTGCGACCGCCAGGTGGCCCAATCGACGTCGGCCGCCGCCTGGACATCGGGATCCGGGTCGACATCCACCTCGCCGCCATCCAGCAACCGGTACCCGACGGTGGAGCGCATCATCAACGTGTGCCGGCCATTGGCCGTGGCCAGGACAATGGTCCGGCGCTGGGTGTGCTGCAGGATGGAATTCGAATCCAACATCCGGGCCCGGCTCAGATTCACCGCCAGCCACAGGGGACTTTGCCCGGGCTCGCCGGTGAAAATGTAAAAGATCTTGTCGCTGAGGATGACCCCACACCGGCGCCAGTATTTGGGGAACTTGCCAAAGTGCAAGTCCAAATACCCGTGGATGGCATCGGCTGCCAGGTAGTGGCCCTTGAAGAGCATGTCCGCCCGGCGCCGCCGCGGGATGGTGATCGACCCGGGGGCCGGGCCGGGGACAGGCCCGGCCGCCGTCGCCGCCGTCGCCGCCGCCGCCGCCTCGGCCTCGCCGTCCAGCGGCCGCGGCACCGAGTGCTGCAGGATGATGCGCTGCACCACGGACTGCGTGGCGCAGTTGACCACCGACACGAAGTCCGCATGCACCACGACGATGGTTCCCCGGTAGGAGGAGGCGGTCACGCGCAGGACCGGCGCATCGAAGGACACCGCCGTGGACTGGTACGCGCGGGTCTTGGCCTGGCTGCCACGCGGCACAAAGTACCCGGTCCGCGTGTAGGCAATGAAGTACTCCCGCGTCGGGGCCAGGTAGGTGGCGTCCACGGGGATCTGCTGGCCGAGGGTCCCCCCGCGGGAGGTGATGCGCGAATCGGCCAGCGACGCGCCGATGGAGGGGACGACCGTGCCGACGCCCGGGCCGGTGCCGTCCGATGCCGAGCCGGGGCCCGGGGCCGGTGGGCCGCCGCCCGCGCCACTGCCGCCGGCCACCAGGTCCTTCTGCACCACGAGCGGCGTGCTGATGCCGGTGCGCAGGTCCAGCGAATGGACCGATGCCAGGGGCTGGCCAAAGCCAAAGACCACATTGCTTCGGTTGAGCATGCGCAAGAAGATGGGCTTCTGGGCCAGGCGGAACTCCTTGACCTTGTTGTACTTGGCCCGGCCGTGGTCCAGCTTCAAGTCGCGCAGGCCCTCGAACATGAACACATGCAGGGTATTCTCCACCGCGGCCACCACTTCCCACAGCCGGTCGCAAGACGCAAAGGCATGGCAATTGGCCGTGCCGGGGATGCGCTCAAAGACCCACTCCTTGGAGTGGATGCGGAAGTGCGTCAGCTGGGAATTGGTCCCGCAAATGGCCAGCAGGGTGAACATGCCCGGCTCGAACTGGAACTGCCGGAAGGGCTTGAACAGGGCCGGCAGCATGCGAAAGTTGCTGGACCCGGGGAAGGGCGCCAGCGGGTACGGCATCCGGGAGAGGGTGGTCGGGAAGGCCTTGATGTGGTGAAGGTCGACCGTGTCTCCGAGCTCGGTGGAGGCCAGCCCGTCGTTGGACCCGAGCACGAGGGAGGTGTCTGCGTGCGTGCGTGCGTGCGTGTGGGGCGGTGCGGGGCGGTGCGGGGCGGTGCGGGGCGGGGCGGGGGGTCAGCGAGAAGAGCGACGAGTGGGAGGCGGGCGCGATCAGTGGTAGGTGGTGCGCGGCCGTGAAGGAAGAGAGAGAGCAAGGGGGGGGGGGGGGGGGCATGCGGGGGACGCACTGAACAGGTAGCCATCGTAGATGGGCCCGGCGCGCGAGGGGTCAAACTCCAGCGGGATCTGCGACGCGCTCAGGTGGTTGGACACGGCGCTGGCGTACGGGCCGTAATTGAGGAGCTCATCGTCGCCGAACTGCTGGCGGATCACCTCTTCCAGCGGCTGGGGGACGTCCAGGCGGTTGAAGAGCTTGAAGAAGGCCGTCAGGACATTGCGCACGACGGCCGCGCTGAGGGCCTGCTCCTCGGCCGTGGCATTCTGCTTGCGCAGGATGCTCGGCCCGAACATGGTGGCCATGTTCTCGTAGCCCATGAAGCTGGTGTCGGAGAACATGACGCAGAAGCGCACGAAGTTGGCGATGTACGACAGCACCCAGGCATTGACCACGGGGATCATGCTGAGGGCCGCCTTGAAGCGGTTGACGCAGTCCTCGATGCGCTCGACATTCACGTCCACGAAGGACGAGTACACCTGGTACGGGATCAGCGGCTCCGGCAGCTCCATCAGGAAGTTCTTGAGGATGGCCGTGACAACGTGCGGGTTGGTGTTGGGGATGAGATGGATGTCGCGGTCTGGCGGTGTGTGAGAGAGAGGGGGGGGGGGAACGGGCAGGCGGAGGTGGACAACGCGGAGGATGTAAAGGGGGGGGATTACGCACTGGCATCGATGAAGCGCTTGACGGCGTTGATCTGGGCAATGGAGCCGGACCGACGGAAAATACCCTCGACCGAGTGGCCTGGAAGTGGAAAGGTAGGAGGGGAGGGGAAATGGTCAGAGCCGGGCATCGGGGGGGATGCGCCGCAACGAAAGCAGGGGGCGGGGGGGGGGGAGACACCACGCCATGGGGGAGAGGGGCAGGGAGACGATCGAAGACGACGCACCGTTCAGCGAAATGAGCGTGTTGACCGAGGCGGTCAGGACATCGGGGATGGCCTGGCCGTCACGGAGGACCACACTGGCCAGGGGCTGGCCAAAGACCGGGGTGGGGATTTTGCTGCGGCACGCCGCACGCGCCCCATGGCGGGAGAAGGACCGGCGGGGAGAAGGCAGGTGAGCGGGGCGTGCGTGCGGCGAGGCCATGAAAGGGGGGATGGGCGATGTCCCCCGGGCGCGTGGAGCAAGAGAGAAAGAGAAAAAGGGGGAGGGGGGGGGGCGTGAAGCGGCGGGAAAGACGCACGGCACACGCAGGACCTCGATCAGCGACCGGTCCACCTTGGAGGGCTCCAGCAGGGGGAGGATGGACCGAATCCAGAGGGTCATGTCGGAGTGCGAGTTGAAGGCAACATTGTAGGCGTGCTGGATCTTCTGGTCCGGGGCCATCGGCGGGATGATGCGGATGACAAAGGGCCGGGTCATGAGCTTGTAGTCGGCCGCCACGATGTAGACCGACTTGAAGCTGTTGGCGCAGAGGACCACCTCGTACTCGGTGGACTGGTCGAGCTTGCCGTAGTTGTCATACTCCACCAGCGGCGGGGCCAGCGGGGAGAAGCCGGACTCGGCCGAGGTGCCGGCACTGCCGCCGCCGCCGCCGCCGCCGCCGCCGCCGCCGCCCGCCCCGAGCGAGCCATCCGACAGGCGCATGTACCCGGCATGGTCGATGGAAAAGGAGTTGGCCGCGCGGTTGGTGCCGATGCTGCTGCTGCTGCTGCTGCTGCTGCCGCCGGGCAGCGACTGGATGGATGCCCGGCCGCTGCTGCCATGCCCGGTGCCCGACACGGGGAAGTCGCTGCTAAAGCGCCCGCCGGTGGGCCCGAGCCCGGAGGAGGACGAGGAGGAGGAGGAGGCCGGCCGGCTGCTGGCCCGAGGGGCCATATGCCCGGCCTCCGGGGCGCCGGACCCGCCATCGGACCCGTCGTACAGGCTGGCCGAGGAGCCGGCCATCATGCCGGCCGAGAAGTCCACAGCCCGGGACAGGTACATGGAGGGCAGGTCCACCGGCTTGCCCTGGAGCCAGGACCGGCGGTTGGACCGGCCATTGGACCCGCTGGCGGTGCGCGTGCCGGGCGGGATGCCGCTCAGCTGCAGGGACAGGGACCGGCGATTGCGCACGATCAGCCCGTCCCGATGGAGGACCAGGAACCGGGGGATCCACCGCTGGTAGGTTTGCCGCCGGGAGGGGTCGCCATCATGGAACATGACCCAGGACCCGAGCAGGCCGTCGGCCTGGCGCCGGGGGGGCCGGTGGAAGGCCCGGGCATGGGCCTCGGCCGCGTCATAATCGAAGTCCGCCTCGGCCCCGGGCGCGGGGTGGCTGTCGGCGCCGGGGGCCGGGGCGGCAGCCGGGGTAGTCGGGGCGGCCGGGGCGGCCGCGGTGCTCGGGGTCAATGGCGTGGCCGGCGGGCTGAGGAAGGGGAAGGGCAGTAGCCCCGGGTCGCAAAGATCCGGGCTGGGCAGCGGCGAGAAGACCGCCGGCGAGGGGGGCGGGAAGGAGCCCTCGCCGTCCGAGTCGGTGGATGACTCCTCGAGCACGGTCTCGCCGGACTCCTCCGGGAGGGTCTGCGTTCGGCGCGGGGGGGGGGGGGGGGGGGGGGGG